AAGATATATTTTAATTTCAAGTTCTCTGCAATTTCAAAATATAACATATTCCATGATATTTTTATTTTGTGATAGCGGCACCCTATGAAGAAAATCCCAATGGCAAAAAGAGTGTCAACAAAGTCGACTGTTTCTGAACATTTTACAATAACAACAGATGAGAAACATTATGTATGTCAGTGTATTATAGAAGATGATGATTCTGAAAAAACATGTAATGCAAAAATTAGCAGTTTTAGTGATTCTGACAAAAATCCACCTACAAGAGCACTGAATTTGAAAAGATACTTGCAGCGTTTACATCCTATAGTGTTAGAAGCTGTGAATGAGAAAAATAACAACAACATTCCATCTGCCTGAGGGCTAAAGAAAGATCAGAAATCTACTGGAGGCCAAACACAACTATCAAGATTCTTTACATCTGACAAAGTTACCGTAACAATGACACCAGAAAAGTTCGAAAACCACATCATTGAAATGGCAGTAAAGAATAGTGTACCTCTATCCTTTTTTTCACAACCATCCCTTTTAGGCTTAAATGGAGAAATGGCTAGAAAACCTGGAGTTTCTCTAGAAAGAGAAAGCATAAGGAGACTTATACATGAAGAGGCCAAATGTAAGAAAGAAGAATTTCAAAAAAGTTTGAAGGGATGTTTTATCTTCATTAAAATGGATACATCGACACATCACAGAGACAATTATTTTGCTATTAATGTTAGATTTGTTGATGAAAGCAATAAAATGATAACTTGGACATTAGGAGGAAAGGACATCCAGGCACATCACACCAGCAAGTATCTTCAGGAGTTAGTGGAAGATGTTTTGGAAAATTTTGAAATTACAAAGGAACAGGTTCTATGTATTGTAACAGATAATACTTCAAATATGTTAAGCACAATTGAGAAAATGAATAAAGTTGACAAAGAAAGCACACAAATATTAGATGAAGATCCCATTCCTACAAGAAATCCACAAACGGTGCAAATAGAAGAGAGCAGTGTGACCCCTAAAACAGATACTATTCTGCAGACATGTGTTAGAAAAGAAGCCATTTTGGATCAAGCAACACTCTGGGGAGCGCTTATTTGATGACAAAGCATTTGCTTGAACTAAAAGACTTTTCTGAAGATCTGGACAACATAAATGTTTCACTAACTGAAAGCCAGGGGGCACAGAAATTGTGTAATTGACAGAATTAGAAAGTCTACTTTCTCACCCTTTTACTGTCACCAAGAAGTTGCAATCTGAGGATTTAACACTTGGTAAATTCTTGCTGGAGTAGAAAAGCTTGATGTATCGCCTGAACAAAAGAGGAGGATTAATTGCTGACGGCATTTAATCATCAATGAAGAAAAGGGAGGGTGTCTTGCTGGATAATCAAATCCTGTTAGCTGCTATTTATATTGATCCAATAAACTGACTTTGTTGAGCAATGACCAAGTTGCTACAGGAAAACAGGCACTCTATGAAGTAGCAGTTTGCATGAAAGGGTTACAAATACTACTGGAAACACCTGAACCACTGGATGAAGCTAGAAGCATTGGTAACTCAGAATCATCCAAATGAAGAATTAGAGTTTGAAGCCTACTTGGACAGAATGGAACATTCAATGTGATGCCACTTAAGCACAGAAAAGCAACCAGTAAATATCCAAATAAAGAAATTTCAGCAAGAATTTTTTAAAGGATTAAAGGAAGTGGAATAGTATGACCGCTCATCGAAACTGACTATAGAAGAAGCCATTCTTGTTTATCCAGAGGTTATTAGTGATGTAGCTAGACAGCAAGGCCACCCACCCAAGACTGTTTTTGGCACTGAAAATAGTCAGATCAGATTTAAGGTCTTCTATGAGGGAGGATTTGGCAGAAGCAATTCTGTTTCTAAGAACAATATGTTAGTCTTCAACAATCTTATACAATATAATTTTTATTTCATTAAATATGTTTCATGTTATATTCACTTGAATTTTATATTCAAATGATACTTTAATCTTGAAAAAGAAAGTTTATGTTACTTACATATGTACCTAATTAAGTTCATTTCTTTTAAAACAGTCATTTGTTAAGTTGTTTTAGGTGTTCAATTGTTTTACCTTTTTGTAGTTTTGACTTTTAATTCTTTTTAGTAATATCAAAGGATATACTTTAGATTTTTGAATTATTAGAGAAAGTTGTTCCTGATTTTCTTTTATAGTTTCTTTCTTTTATGTCCTATTACTTTATACTCTATAGTCTTTTGGCAAAAATATAATCTCATTGTTTTTATTTTTTAGCTTTTATCCTTTGTTTAAACTATGAGGTTACTGAATGTTTGTAATTTCTTTAATAAATAAAATTTAAAAAACAGAATGTCTAAGCTATAGCCTTTAAACCCAAGCTTTAACATGTTAGGGTTCTAAATAGTTGCCTACTGATTCACATTGGCAGTGATGAAATGCCTTGTATGTTGTGTGCTTGCAGTCAATATAGGAAATATATAATTAGTATATTTATAATTTATTTCCTATATCAATATATAATTAAAGGAGTTGGAGTCGGAGGTACCATGAATAAAGGAGTCAGAGTCAGAGTAAAGGTTTTATGTGCCAACTCCACAGCCCTGCTATTTAAGATGTGTGAGAATACAAAAATGAAAGTCAGATGTAGTGCTCAATTACATCTAACCAAAGAAATACTAGAGAGTAAAGGGGCAAGACAGGGCTGCATGTTAGCTCCATCACTATTTAATTTTTATATAAATACACTGGTGGCCAGCTTAAGCAGCCTAGATTTCCATCTTCCCAAACCAGCCCAACAACATATTAATTTACTACTAGGTACTGACAATGTGGTAGTTTCATCCTTGACTCCTGTCAACCTTAAAAGGGCCTTGAGTACTCTTTTACTTCACTGCAATAATGAGAAGCCCAGTCACAAAGTATTCCAAGTCTAAGATCTTTCATATTTTCCAAATGTCCAAGTCATGGAACTGGCAAAGAGGAGGGCATACCATCAAAGAAGTCAAAACCTTTAAATACTTAGGGGTGGTTTTTCAAGGTTTAGGAGCCCAAAATGTCCATCAGGACTTTGCATGTGAAAGGGCACAGAAATCAGCCTCAGCTTCTATTTTAATTGAGGCAAAACAGTTCATTCCTGCTGCTGTTATTTACAGCTAAGGCTCTTGACTAATTATTATATGAGGCTCAACTGGGGCCATACAGTAAGATGGCACCATTAGAGAAAGTCCAATCCAAATTCTTGAGAAATATTTTCCAGGTCCCTCATGGTGTCCCAAATACAATACTTTGGCAAGAAGCAGGAGATACTAGAGTTGGCCTCTGGATTATTACCTTTAACTTTAGGTTGAAATTATTATACTGCCCAGTTGGATTGGCCTCTTTAATTATAATAGATTATTTTGACTCCACCTGAAAAAAAGTCATTTCTAGGAAATTACATTTCTATGGCTTTTCCTGGGACACTCTTTTCTATTAGGCTTAGAGCAACCCACTCAGTTTTGAAATAAAGGATTCTAGGAGTAGAAGGCTAATTGGATTACACAGTATCACAGTCCCTGTGATACATTCATTAACAATCAATTTCCAAAATACAAGTTGGTCAGTTATGTGGACAAGATCACTTTTGAAATTCAGAAGAGCTTTATCCTTAGCTCCCTTTAATGCTATTCCCACAGCACTGTTGGTAAGGAAATACAGGAACATCCCCTTTGCTAAAGGATGGTGCTCCTGTGATGCAGATACAGTAGAAACTACAGCCCATGTTTTGTTATACCTTTACTGCCAGTTCTACAGGTGCACTTATTTGTAGTTAATCTCCCCTCTCCTCTCTAAATTCCCAGGGTATTCTGATTTATTCTACTTAAATGTCCTATTAGATAACAAAGGCAATTTTGTATCCTTAAATATTGCCAAGTTTTGTTTTACTGTATGTAAACTCGACTCTGCTAATGGTTATTCAATGTTTTACTATGGTGGTCTTTTCCTTCTTTTGGTCTACAACTGTCATAAAGTCTTATCTTCTTATGCCCACCATTTTGACATGGTCCTGGTGATGATCCATACTGCTTTATTTCAACTAGGATCAACTGGAATGTTCTTGCAGTCCATAGAAGAATAATCAGATATTCTGACACACCCATTAGCCTTGATATAGTCCAGGTTCTGGACTTGCTGTAGTGAATAAAGAATAAGTAAATTTTCTTAAATGTTTTGGTTTCTTCATTATGCTACTTCTCAAATCTATTGTCTCTTTGCCTTTTCTGAACCCTGCTTGTTTATCTGGCATTTCTTTCTCCAAGAACATCTTAGTCTTCTTCATAAGATCTTAAGCAAAGAAGAATTGCTAACTAATTTGATTTTAGAATGCTTTCTCCTAGGTGGATTGGTTTCCCTCATGTCTTCAGAGTCCCACCTGCCCTCACCCCCATTGTATATTAAAAAAGAAGTCAAGAGTAATCTTATCAGCAAGGGTGATTTTATAGGGAGCTCCCACACCTGCCAGAAATTGCTCTCAAGGCCATCAAAGCTATTGAGCCCTCCTACCACATCAAGGCAGTAATCCCCTATGAGGAAAATTAAATCTTTATTTATTTCCATCCATCTTTCCTATGAGATTATTGTATTATTTATTATTTTATTTATTTGAATGTAGTAGCTACCTAACTCTAATGGACTCTGGGCAGCATACAAAACTAGAAAAAAATATAAAAATGGATAAAAACAGCAAGCCAGATGGACAGCCCAGACTAAAATAATCTTATGAACAGCAAAATCAAAACAAAACAGGGGCCTTAGACAAATAATAAAACATCAACCCCAGACCTGGGACCAAAGCCAAGTTTTCAAAGCTTTCCAGAACCCTAGGAAAGAAAGCACAATCCTTATGTCTGGGGGGATGCTGTTTTAGAGGGTAGAAGCCACTCTCAAGGTTGAGAGACAATGATTACAGGAGAAGGATCCTGCCTCAGTTTTCTTCCACAACCCTATGAAGTAGGTTGGGTTAGGAAGGAAGGACTCACCAAAGGCCAGCCAGCGAGTTCCATAATTATATAGGGACTTGAAACTAGGTCTCCCCATTTCTGGTCTAACCACTATTCTACAGTTTACTACTACACATAGCTAACACTTTTCCAGTAAGTTATTTAATTTAATTCTGTCATATTAAAAAATACAAATTGTTAACAATAACAAGACTTTTGGGGGCCACATACAATCCCAGTACTTCAAGTAATACATCTCTACTTGAAAATGTAATTCTACCTAAATTAAAGAAATATAGCAGTAGAGTATATAAAGGTGATCTGTATTGCAAATTATCTTAACTGCACATAAAAATTGAATTTTTATTACAGAACAATATTGTTTGTCTCCAAATCCCACAAAATTCTCAGCTCCAAAGAGGATTTTACTTACTAAACATAATGAGAATGTCACTCTCAATACA